ATCCACCACCATTTCACCTCCACAGAACAGCCACCAAATCCAATTCTGACCTAGTTCCACCACTGCGTGCATAGATAAACCGCATCATCTCCACCACACCACCGTGTAGATTCGCACCACCACTATGCAATTTTGTCTGTCATACCACCACCACACAGATCTATACCTAAATGTAGTCGCCAACGTGTGGTGACTACCGCCCGAATCGGTGCGGTTATGACTCAGTTTGAAGTTACATGTCGCGACAGGAAACTATCTAGGGCACAACTCGAATGCTCGCCGGAAATACTGGTATTGTTGGAATCGGATTTTCTCGGAGGAGTCAAGTGAACCTCTGCAGTGCTACGACCCGACACCGATCCGGAGGAACTGGAACTACTGCTAGTTGCTATAATATCAGTGGTGGCGGTGGAGGCGGGAGAGGGAGAAGGGAGGGGGAGAGACGGCGCGAGCGGTGGAGGCGGCGAGGTTGAAGGGAAATGGTGAGAAGGGGTCTGGGGGGAAGAAAGGGAAGAGACGAGATGGGGGGGGGGGAGGAAGAAGGGGCGCCGACGACGACGGGTGGTGGCGGTGGCGGCGATGAGAGTGGGAGGAAATATAAAATGGATTAGGGTTTGGATGATATATAAATAATGTTGGTAGGATAGGTGGTGAGGGTAGGGGTGGGTATATAGAGTAATATAATTTTAAAATCTTATTATTAATATTAATTGTAAAATTAATACCTGATTTTTGATTAAAAAAGACCAAAACCTGATTTTTTAAAAGTGAAAACTAAACACCTTGTCTATGCTAATTTTCCCNGAATATTATGTGATGGGCAAAAGACACCATACATTTGACACATTTTACAGCTCAACAGCCTCAATCAACTTTTCACTTTGTGCAAGTCTATGACGACGGTGCGCTTAAGGTGATTACTTTTCACCCTATGATCAGGAGTATAAGGACAACATGTCTATGATAGATAGGGATTCATACAAATTACAATGGAGCTTCACAAATGGGTTGTTAAGATAAAGTCATGTGTCAAATATTCAATGAGCCCCATCTCATTTCTCTTAATACTAGTTTTTACCCGTGCATTGCACGGAATTGGTTATTTTGTAGGCAATGTTAGTACGTTAAATAACATAGTTATTGATTTTTAGGACCAAAGACCATCTAAATGCCTTGCAGCACGTCAGTATAACGCAGTGGAAGTACAAAAACATTTTGAAGCAAGGATCATGACCAGTTTTAAATCATGACCAAATATCAAATATCATACGCATACCTCAGAAATGCCATAAGGTTCCAACAACCTTTGCAAAGCAACTATCTTGTCCAGATCCACAGTAAGCTGGAAAAAGTACACGAGGGAAATTCAACAAAGAAAGAAATGAGGAACAAGGACATATATAGGAATTATTTTGTCATCTTGTTGTCAGTCAATAATTAAAAGTTTCAGTTATAAGCGAAATAGCGATGACTTGATTCCAGTGGCGGACCCAGGATCTACCGATCTAAGCTCAGCCCGGGCGGACGTCGAACAGTCAATGTCGACCATCAGTTATCGTAAGAGCGATGTCGTTTATTAATATTTAATTATAAAATATTAAAAATTATTCAATACATATGTAAATGCACTAAAACGTAATATATATATAAACGTAGTTCAATACAACCAAAAGTACTAAAAAAATACGCAATACAACTTACTCTGTAACAGTGATCTTAGACAACTGTATTCTACGGGATTTCATGCTTTGAAAACGTTGCAATATTGCTTTGTGATTGGCCAGCCCCCGCGGCCGCCCGTGCTGGGTCCCCCGAGACCTTGAAGTTCCGCCGGGAAGGCAGCAGCCGGCGAACCTTTTTTTTTTTTTTCCTTTGTGATTGGTGAGGGTGATCAGATACAGCACTGTGCACCATAGCAGATTGAAGGTGCAGCCTTTTAGCACGTTGACGCTCTCTCTTGTGTGCATTTTGATGACCTCCAAGGGCTTGTGAAGTAGGGAAGTTTCTGCAACAGTAATGGCATTCGAATTTCCGGCTGCTTTCGCCATTATTCTCGTTGCCTTTGATCTCTTCATGAGTATTAGAATCAGGAAACAGCTCTGGTTCTTCACGAGGATCAGTAGAAATGGAGTCACCTCCTCCAAATTCTTTACCAAATAGCCTAATGGCCTTTTCTTTAACCGGTGCTGGACGAATGAATGAAAACTGAGAGAACGATTCAACGTTCATGAAGTCTCGAGTTTCTCGCTGATCTGTCTTCTCCATGAAAGTAGTGTCCACCCTTTTGGATAATGAGAAAGAAAGTGCAGTGAGAAGAGGTTAAGGGAAACAAGAGAAATGTTAAGGGAAGGAGAAGAAGTCCTGCATATGGGGTATTTTTGAGGAGGGGTATGGTGGGACATATAGAATTGACCTCGAATAGGGCCTAAGAAGGCAACACATTTTGATGTTCATATATAACACTTTTGGTATACACTTCCATGTTTATATATAATATTGTTATTATGAGCCCCGTTTGAGTCCATTTCTTTTTTTCAAAAATAAATTTTAAAATAGTGATTTCATAAAAAATGTGTAGTTAAAAAATAAGAAAAAAGTTTCGATTTTGCGTATAATATTATTTTATTAAAAAATGTGTGATTAAAAATAAGAGAGAGAAAATTTTATATTTGAAAATAATAGAAAACAAACAAATGCTATATAACTGATTTATTCTTTTGAGGATTGGACACTAACGCTATCCTCTTTGAAGGCTAGATCTTCATTTTTTTCATGTAATATCTTTGGTATCTGATTGTTAACAACAACTTTAAAAGCACAATCTGTAAATCCAATATTGAAACACAAAAGGTTTTGATCCTTTCGTTTCAAGAAGCTCTTGTTATTTTCCATTGGTTTATAGGCGGATTACATTGGTTTTGATATTACCTGTGGCAACTGCAAGTGTTGAAAGAGTATTCTCTGCTATGAATCTAATCAAGAGTGACTTGCGCAACAAAATGGGAGACGACTGGTTGAATGACAATTTGGTGGTGTACATTGAGAAAGAGAGTTTCGAAAAAATTGAGAATGAAGCAATATTGCAACGTTTTCAAAGCATGAAATCCCGTAGAATACAGTTGTCTAAGATCACTGTTACAGAGTAAGTTGTATTGCGTATTTTTTTAGTACTTTTGGTTGTATTGAACTACGTTTATATATATATATTACGTTTTAGTGCATTTACATATATATTGAATAATTTTTAATATTATATAATTAAATATTAATAAACGACATCGCTCTTACGATAACTGATAGTCGACGTTGACTGTTTGACGTCCGCCCGGGCTGAGCTTAGATCCTGGGTCCGCCACTGCTTGGATGATCAGAAATTAATATTGTAATGTTTTTTTTTTTTTTTTGTCAATTTTGAATGTTGAATAAGAATCGACCAACTACACCTGTGAATGTTGCATATTATGAAATACAATTTAGTTCACGTTTATTGCATAGTTTGATGTGTGATTTGTCGATCATATCATCACTAGTCATGCATTTCTTGTATAATATCTTAAATTCATCACCATTTACTGAAACTCTATAAATCTCGAATTTTTTATTCGTATAAATATACATGGATGTAGATACAGATGCTGAAACATAATTTCAGCACTTAAAACTTTCATCAATAGGCAGTCAATGTTTTATAACAATTTTCCATAAATTTTGACACAATGAACTCCCTTTTAAGAAAAATCCATTCTTTACAACCTATTTTGTTTCAAACCTCAAAAAGCTCATTTATTTTTCCAATCCTTAAACCCCTCCAAAATCCTTCATGTGCAATGTTTTCAACACATATTGTAAAGACACTTTTCGACCCAGTTATAAGAATTCCACGAATACAAGATGCGTTCTGTTACATGGGGTGTAATCAAAGGAAGAAATGAAAAACTCGTGTCCCGAGGTCATTTTTTGTGATTATTTGAAAATGATAAGGCGTACTCACTAATAAACTAGAGGACTTTGTATTGACATAAAAAAATGTGATAATAGATTGATGGCTAGGGGGTGGACGCGGGTCTGTTCGGTTCAGTTCGATTTTTTTCGGTTTCAGAAATTTTCGGGTATTTAGTAAATGGAACCGTCGGTTCCAAATATAATTTTGGAACCGTTCGGATTCGGTTCCGTATTATAATTAAATTTTTTAACATTTAAAATAATACTACATAAATACACCTCAAAGTAGATACTAATATTAATAACAAAAAGTAGATATAACTACCAAGTTCAATCTTAACTTTTACAAATTAACGTAATCTAATTTAATAACATATAAATAATAAGTTGTCAAATATACAAGAAAAAATTGAAAAAACACAACTAACAAATATAAATAAACTCTAAATTGTTCAACTAATAAGATTTAATAAGAAAAAAATTATTAATTTGTTTAGAAAAAATAAAAGAAATTGATTTATCCAATATAAAAAAAAAATTTCGATTCTTATTCGATTCTTTGGTTCTGAGTCTAGAACCGAGAACTGAACCAAACCATTCGATTCTTAATTCGGATATCCGTTCGGGTATTTCATTTTAAAAAATCCGCTCGATTTGGTTTGGTTCAGTTCGGACATTTTGCCCAACCCTATTGATGGCTGTCAAAAACTTTTGATTATGAGGATACGTTAATAAGTTTCTTCGACATTTCTTACTATCCATATTGATCCAATGTGGAATGTATTTGTATCAACATACACGGTAGAAGTTTCAATAAGCAGATTTTGATATTTTCGACTTGGACTACGGTTTTATAGTAGCGATAAATTGGTAATAACAACTGAAAATAAGAATCAAATGGTTGATTTGTGTTGATTACAGTTTGAGGTAGATCTGTAGAAGATCAATTTGATGTTTGGGGTTTGAGTTTTCCTTGTGGATGAGTCTAGAGATATTCGGTTTGGGAGGAGGGTTTTTGTATGGAATAGAAATAGACTCATTTTTGGGAATTTGGTGCTAAATTTGTCAAGTTAATGGCATGTTTGTTGGGTCATAAATTAAGGTCATGTTTGTTGGGTCACAATTTATGGGCGCATTTGTTGAATTAAATTTAACATCATAAATGATGATTTATTTGGTTAACTTTTAACATTTCCATTTTACTATAAAAAGAGTATTTATAGGTATAATCTAAATATTTATTTAAAAATAGGTGCGTGACATAATTTTCTCTTGATAAAATGTGTGGTTGAGAAATTGTGAATTCAATAAAGTACATGATTGAAATAAATTATTAAATTAAATTAAAATCTAAATTTTAATCCCTACTAATTAGGAACTTGAGTGTTTTATTATGCCACATTATGGCAGTTGCATGACCCCACAAATTGTGGGGTATGTAGAATGTCATTCAGTCGTTTTAAACAAACTATTTAAATACAAGATCTCTATTTTATGAGTCAAATTTTAAAATTAAATTACAACACACTTCTACATTTGGAGAGCCAAGCTCATTTGTTGTTTGCATTTACATTTAATAAATTGCAAGTTTCAATGCTCTACTTGAACACGTCCTATATTTTTCAAATTATATTCGATTATTTTAACCATTAACATATAAATAGATACATAATCTACTTCTTGGGGGG